CTCTGAAAAGCAATTCAGGGGGCGCCTGGATGGCTCAGCCAGTAAGTGTCTGACTTCGGTTCAGGTCATGATCTTGTGGTTCATGATTTCAAACCCCACATCAGGCTCTGTGCTGACAGCTTGGAGCCTGGAACCTGCTTCGGATTCTGTGTCTCCCTGTCTCTCTGCCCCTCTCCCCTCACACTCTCAATAATAAACAGTAAAACAAATTTTTTAAAATAAAAACAAAAAGCAATTCAGGGGGCTGCCAGTCCCGAGTTCAGATGGGGGCCTGAAGGAGACCTACTCGTTTGAGGACATCACCTCACCAGGTGTCGGGACCACGCCAGCCTTGGGCTCCTCCAGCCCCACCTCAACCCCGGGCCCCACTGGTTCTTGGCTCACGGACCATGGCGTTAATCTCTGGGAGACCCCTGGCTTCTCCCTGCTTTTCCAGCATTTGAGGACTCATCTCACTTGGATTATCAGACTGAATGAGACTCAAAGAAAGACACAGCACACAATTTTTAAATAACTTTATAATTTCCCGATGGATTTAGTTTGTGAATAAAAAAGAAAAAAATGGACAAAGTGTTTACAATAATTATCAAGGCAAAGTTGACTATAACACAATTTCTTTGTAATGTCATTATCCTGTCAGTAACATGACTCTGGCCATCTCTCTCTCTCAATCTCTCTCTCTCTCTCTCTCTCTCACACACACACACACACACACACACACACACACACACACACACACACACACTTGAAGGCCACGGGTGCATCTGCATTACAGACACCATCATTGCGGCTGCTATTGTCACCAAAAGGAACTCAAGCTAGGAGTCAGTGCCCAGCGCTCCTCAGCTCCTCACTAAAGTGCAGCACCCCTCTTCCAAAGCAGAGGGGGCGAGTCCCCAGCCTGGACATCCCGGTGTGCTCGGCAGGCTCCTGGGCTAGTCGGCCAGTCCTGTGAGTGCAGGCAGGCCAGGAAAGGTGGCGTGTCGCCCTCAGGGAGGTCTAGCTGCACTGGAGTGTGAATGCAATACTGGTGCGGTGTGGAGAGAAGGGCTGGGCTCAGAGAGCCTGTTCTGGCCCGGGGAGGTGGGGGGGGGGGGGGGGGGGGGGGGGGGGGGGCGGGGGGGGGGGGGGGGGGGGGGGGGGGGGGGGGGGGGGGGGGGGGGGGGCGGGGGGCAGGGATTCTCTGGCTTCAGCAGGGTTCCCGTCCTTTCCTGATCAGGGCATCTCTAGGGCCAAGAGAGACAGCCTGGGAGATGGGCCTGGGAGATGGGGGGGGGTGGGGGTCTAAAAAGCTTAAAAGGGAAGGAATCTAGGGACTGAAGCCAGAAGGAACTGAGATCTGAGTATGATTCATTCACCTGGATCGCAGGCTCCAGGCTGGCCACTGCTGGCCCATGGTGGATGGGTCACTGGATGATATAGCACCAAGTGGGCAGGAAAGAGCTTCTGCGGCCTGTACAGGGCTGCCGGGCGTGGGGCTTCCGAGGCAGGCCCGGGTTACCACGCAGTATTAGGCACACTGAGCTGGGGCCAATGTGGGCTTGAGGGTGGTTATGGGGTCACAAAATTTGAAACCTCTACCCAGAGGTCCTGAGGAAGGGACAGGAAATCTCCGGCACAGGGGGGACTCTCAGAGCCCCGGATTCCAATTCCTGTTACTCAGCAGTTGTCTCTTTCGCTCAGGCAGTCCCCTACCTAGAGGGTGGTCATTGTGTTTCCCAAGTGGCTAGCCCAGGTGCCACCTAAGCCAACTTGGGAGGAGGGGGAGGAGTGTGGCTGCCCCATAGCTTGAATTCCTTTATTAACATGATATCGCTTGCATTTTTAAAAACACAGCTCTTTAACTTTTCAGTTCTACAAACTACTTTTTAATATCTTAATAATCTCAACAATGGACACAATGTAACTGCCCCAATGCTCTGAACCACACAGACAATATCGACAAGCAGAGAAACAAAGAGGAGGTGGGATGGGACAAAAATCCGCTCCCCCCAAATCAATCCCTAAAACCACCTTTCCCCCAAAAGAGTCAGAAGAAATAACTACAACAGGGTCACAGCACGCACCAAACACGTTGGAAGAAATCAGGAGACGCTTGGTTACAGTTTTGACACTAAAAAGTTTGGAAACAGTTTTTGCTTAAAAAGAGTAAATAAAGACAGCCATTTTGTTCAGAAGGATTTCCCTGTAATGCGTGTGTGTTCTTTTTGCCCAAACATTCCCCTAGTCCGCATGGGGAAAACGCCAGATTCTTTTTAAAACATTTCTTTGACCAGTTCAAGGCGCTGTCCTGAGAAGCCCAGGGACTGGCAGTGATGGAGGGGTCGGCCTTGCAGGCTTGCGAAGATTAGCGTCCACACCGCATCTACCGTCGCCTTACCTGCTTCTCCAGCTCTGAACTGCTGCGAGCAGGAGATGAGGCTGGGGGAGGCAGACGGGGGAGTTACTGATATTGCTGACACAGGGCCCACTGTAACTTAGGAAATGCCACGTGAGGGTCACATTCTATGAGGCAACAGATTCCTCGATTTGCTCTTTCCTCAAAACCCCCGAGGGTAGCCAGCAGGCCTGTGCTTCACTGCTGGGGCCAAAGGGGAGGGCAAGATGGTTCTGGGATCAGCAGAACTCTCTAGCAGCAGATCCAAATGCCAATCCTGAATGTCACAGGGGAGGGATGACTAAGACTTTGTGATGACTTCCTCTTCTCTCTGGGGAGTGGGTGAGCCAATGAGCTCCCGTGGGGAACCAAAGAGACTTTTATTGACAAAAGGTGCCAAGTCCCACTGCCACTACTGCCACCGAAGGCAGGCTTGTGTCCAGTTTGCTTCACTAATATTTCTAAAGACCAAGTGTAAGGAAGAGAGAGAAGCACTTTGACCTTTGATAGATTATAAGGTACTAGGTGAAAGGTTAGAGCTGAGATGGATTTAGGGATTCCCATTCATATTTCTTAATATATTAAAGCCTATTTAAAATCTTTTCCATTTCAAATAGTTTCCAAGTCCTTGTAAATCTCAATTCAGATACTTCATTAAGAACTCAATGAGCACCTGGGACAGAGGTATATGAACAGATGAGAAAATCACATTGTATTTCAGCCCCACATTGGATTCCACCCACTCTTCTTCTTCCTGTCCCCTTTCGTGATGACCTTGATTTGGGGTACAGATCTTTAGGTGCTAAGGGGCAACTAGACTTGCCAATGGAATGGATGAGTTTGCTGAACACAGGAGGCAACCTGAAGTCAGTTTTCAAGGCTAGAGACCTTCAGGAGCAATTGAGCGACCTAGAGAAACCATGAACGCCAGAAGGGTATCAGGCAATGATAAGTCTTTGTGTGATGGGAATAGTGCACTGAGTAAAAGTTGGCTCGATGAATGATCTCAACTCAATAAGATATTCTCAGTGCTGGACACTGTATTCATTTTGTCCCCCTAACCTAATGTCTGGTCATGTTCACTACTAAAGTTTCGCCAGAACCTACTTTCTTCTACAACCAAGCAGTCCCCAGAACCATCTGAGATGCTAGGATGACCACGCAACTGACACCAAGGAGCTCCCTGCTTTGGTTCACAGAACCCACACAGACAATGTTTGCCCCAGATGTTTCTCTTATCAGAAGCGTTTGTCCAGAGGACTTCAATGAAGTTTTGGAGGAGAAGCAACAGGAAGGGTTGAAATGAAAAGGGAAAGAAAGGAGGTGCAGGGAGAGTCATTCACCAAGTGGGCAAAGCTGTATTCGAAAGCAAAGACACAATGAGCAGGGCCCAGGGAGACCTGCTTGATGCCTTCCCTTGCCGAAGCTGCTGGAGAACAGCCCACCAGGACCAGGCCACTTCTTGGGGGATGGCCTCTTCTCCTGCCCTCTCTGTTCTGCTGTAATCCTGTGAAGGGTGTTATCATACCTCAGTTCTCTGCATTATGGTAGATAAAGTGAGATTCTAATACCCCAGGCCTAAAATACTGGGGGCTATCTACATGATTTATGCGCAGTGCAATAAATACATGGAATTGAGGTGACTGACCACAAACACCCACCACTTACTATCTAACCCCTACATCTCCCACTTCCCCTGCTTCTGGCCAGCCTGGCTATCAGGAAGCATCTCAGTAAGAAGTTTATGAGCAGAGTCCACTTAACCCTTCGATAAGAAACATTCTACAGCTTCTCACAGGAGAGACTGTTTTACAGCAGGGAACCAGGACAGCTGGAGATATGACCATATAAGTTAATGGGACAGTCAAGGGCTGCCGGTGGGAAGATACTGGACTGAAGGGCTGTGATGACTTTACAGGCAGCATCATTCTTTGGGTGAGTGACTGGGGAGGGGGAAAGGAGAAGACGCAAGACAAAAGCATTTAGCCCGGCAACTCTTATCAGAAGATGTGAGTAGCTGGTGGGCGTCTGGCTGGAGAGGTGGTTAAAGGCTACATTTGGGTTAAGTGGTCTCTTTCTTGGTGCCTGATTATTTATGACTGCCATTGTCTAAGCTTGGGGAAAAGTGCCCTTCAAAATGCCAATATCTTCAACTGGATTTGCAACGTTAGGCCCAATTTTCTGATCTGCAACATGGAGCTGGCCAAGTTCCACATGGCGTGTACAGATGTGTTAAGAAAACACTATCCACTACCGCAGCCCCCTAAACACTACACTCTAGCAGGGTAACGACAACAAACAAAAATCCTGAGCCACCAAATAAGATCCTGCAGGCAAGTAAGTCACTCAGCCCTCTGAGCCTGAACTCATCAGTTACATTATAGTCAGAGATGCTCATCTGTGAAAGACTTTTGCTGAAAAAGATAACTTCTACTAAGAAGAAGTAGGGAGAGGAAAGGTATGCCTTTTACTGCTTTGACTCAACCAAGGTGTGTCTCAGAGAGTCCTTTACATTTCTCCCTCACTGAAAGGAGACCGTTTTTCAAGGATGGGTACCTAACCGTGACTTGCACATAGTAGGCATTTCATACATATTATTTGAATGAAAGAACGAAGGAAGGAATGTATATGGGATGAGAAACATTCATTTCTGCCAGAAGGGAGGTTCCAGACAACGCACGAGGCTATGGTTCTGGGAGTGCACATCAAGAGAGAAACTAAAAGGGTAGAAGGTGGGGTCATAAACTTCAGCAACCACTGAGCTGCAAGAGCATGGAACATGGGTGGTGGGAAGGCAGAAGCATTCTTTTGGGGCTCAGGGGCCTAGAATGCCGATGAGGGAGATGTTTAGGAGAAACCAGCCTGGGCCCAAGGAGCGGTCATCTTCTAAAGAAGGAGAGCGGCAGGTGGTTGACGGCAAGGTCTCGCATCCAATCCCTCTCCCCTTTCAGGCTGAGACATATGGTCTGACAGACTAATAAGGTCAAAGGTCTTAAACAAGAGGGATGGGGGGAGAACCATTCACACCACCCTCTTGTTAACTGGTTGAGAAGAGCAAGGATGAGTGAGACAGGACTGGGTGAAGACTCCAAATCTGTGGTATTAGCGTTCACTAAGCCCTCAGGAGGCCTGCTTGCAGCTCCCCTGCGTAACATATTACATGTGAAAGTGAGCGAAAGAAAAAGTAAGAGTCAGTTTCTCTTTGTCCCTGTTCTCTCTTTCCCCCTCTCTTTTTAAGATTTTTTTTTTAACCCTTTTAGGAGAAAGCACCTGTTGTGATATTAGAACACTCAGCTCTCTGGTCCATTGGGAAGTTTCTTTCAATAGTTGAACTCCGAGGAGATTCCAGATTCAGGTCTTGTGTCAAGGACAGAGGTAAAACGGGCTCTCTACTCCATGTCCCGCTGGAAGGGCAGAGCCACCAGCTTCCACAGTCCTCCACCGCTGATGGCCAGATGGCAGCTCTTCACAGAAACTTGGTCACTTACCCACCCTGGACATCAAGAAAATTAGTGTAGAGACAATATCCAAAGCAGAAAGGCAGAGTTAAGATGACAACTGTAGAGGGTGCGGGAGTCACACCTGAAGGGCCAACCAAGATAGGATACAGTTTGTAGTGTTTGTTGGGTGCTGAGAAGCTCCTGGGTGCCTGGTCCTCCCTTACAGCTCTTCTTTCTTGGCTCCCGGATTTACTATAGGAGGCTGCTGGGCTGGCTGCTCCCCCTGAGGCAGGGTCAGGATGACTCTTCCAGCGCGTTGACCACTTGCTCCAGGATGTCGGGGCAATGATCTGCTATCTGCTGGAGAATGGCATTGGCAAACTCCTGCAGTTCTGCATTGTCCCGTTCACCTTTTTCTAGCTCATTCTGAAGCTGAAAAGGAAAGAAAAGATGGATTTCAGATAAAAATAAAATGATCCTGTTTGCATTGGGTTAAGAATTATTGTCCATGAATAAGAAATTGCATTTCCAACAACATGGATGAACCTGGAGGGCCTTATGCAAAGTGAAAGAAACCAGACAGAAAGACAGACACTGCATGGTACCACTTATAATTCGGATCTGGGGGGAAAATGTTAAACTCACAGATTGCCATCAAGGGCTGGGGCGTGGGGGAAATGGAAGAGGTTGGTAAAAGGGTACAAACTTTCAGTTATAACACGAATAAGGTCTGACGATTTAATGTATAATACGATGACTACAGTTGATAACATCGTGTTCTAGAATTAAATTTGCTAAAAGAGTAGAACTTAAGTGTTCTCATAAGGGAAAAAAAGGAAGTATGTGAGATGACAGATGTATTACCTCGAGTGTGGGAACCTTCACAATGTCTATCAAATCATCGTGTTGTGCACTTAATACATCACAGTTTTATTTGTCAATTAAACCTTAATAGAGCTGAAAATTATAAAAAAAAGAGAGGCGCTTTCTATGTGAAGTCATCCTACATCAACGTTAACAACCAGGAACGTGTAAACGTTAACATCAAGCATCTGTTCATGAAGCTGTGACTAGAATCTGCAGAGCTGGAGCCCCAGCTCCCGTTCCTCGTTCCAGGTGGGACGTTCTCCCCACTGGGTCCCAATATCACACCACTGCCCAGGACAGGGAAAGGGGTACATGCATGACTTCCGGTAGGATATTAATCTTGTGTAATGGACTTTGTCCTAGGGAAACTTATAATTTAAAAGACTTTCCCCATTTGCTATAGACCACTTTTACTCAGTACATTACCCTACCTGCTCATTTAGCTAAAGAGATTATTTTGAGAAACGTTAAGATGCTTACAAGCATAATTCTCACTTCCTATTGTTTCAAACACTCTCCTGGACATTCCTTCAAGCATTCAACCAACATTTATTGAGGGCCTACTACTTGCGAGGTGCTGAAAGACGGAATGGGTCTGGTCTTTCCCCTGAAGATCCATTTAGGTTAATGGAAGAAAACACAAACAGACAATTACGACACAGTATGGGAGGGGCCACGCACGAGGCTTGGCGATGCACTACAGTGGAAGACATAATAGGTTGTTTGCATCCTGGAGCAGTGTGAGAAGATGCTACCAAAGGCAATAAGTGGTGTGAATCTTGAAGGCTGAGTGGGAGTTTGCGGGCAGGTCAAAGGCAGAAGAGACTTTCAAGCACATGAAACAAGTGCAGGTACGTAGGGCTAAGAAAGGACTCGGGGCCTTGGGGAAGAGGGAGCTTCTCAGCATGGCTGGAGCATAAGGTAAGAGGACTGAGTAGAGAGTGATAGACAATGAGGCTGACGATGCAGACCAGGGCCAGGCTGTTTGTAAAGCTAAGGAGTTCAGATTGAACCTGGTTAAAAAGCAAAGAAAGAAACACACAGAGACAGGAAGTCCAAGAATTTTTAAACAGTGTGTTAATGTGGTCAGCTTCATTTTTTAAGAAGAGACCTATGAAGATAAACACACGTGAGGCTGAATGGAGGGAACACTAAGCCCAGGGAAGTTCTGTGGAAAGCCCAGGTGAGAGTTAAGGAGGGCACCTGTGCGGCTTAGTCGGTTAAGCATCCGACTTCAGTTCAGGTCATGACCTCACAGTTTGTGGGTTTGAGTTCTGCCGTGGCAGTCTCCGTGCTGACAGCTCAGAGCCTGGAGCCTGCTTTGTTTTTGTTTTTGTTTTTTTTTTTTAGTATTTTTATTTATTTCTAGGAGAGAGAGAGAGGAGACACAGCGTGAGCAGGGGAGGGTCAGAGAGAGAGGGAGACACAGACTCCGAAACAGGCTCCAGGCTCTGAGCTGGCAGTCAGCACAGAGCCTGATGCGGGGCTCGAACCCACGAACCGAGATCATGACCTAAGCGAAAGTCGGACGCTTAACCGACTAAGCCACCCAGGCACCCCAGCCTGGAGCCTGCTTTGGATTCTGTGTCTCCCTCCCTCTCTGCCCCTCCCCTGCTCATGCTCTCTCTCTCTCTCTCAAAAATGAATAAACATTAAAAAAATAATAATAAAAGAAGGGCTAACACTGAGATAGGACCAGAGGACATGGAGGATAACAGATGAGTGTGAGGCTTCCCAAGGTGAAGTTAAATGAGAGGGAATGGGGGTGTCTGGATGGCTCAGTCGGTTGAGCATCTGACTCTTGAATTTGGCTCAGGTCATGATCCCAGGGTTGTGGGATCGAGCCCTGCTCTGAGTTCTGTGCTGAGTGTAGAGCCTGCTTAAGATTTTCTGTCTCTCCCTCTGCCCTTCCCTCTCTCAAATTAAAAAAATAAATAAATGTGAGGGAATGGAGAATCATTTTGACAGTTGTAGCTCGGGAAATTAGACAAATAAAACTGAAAATACAGGAGGTAGAGCACATTTTAGGAAAGGAGAGAAATTAAAAACTGAGTTTACAGTGCACGAAGGACTCAGGTTCTAGACTTAGGCTGCCTGGGTTTCAAGATAGTTGGCACTTACTAGTTTGTGTGACCTGGACCTTTCTGAGCCTCAGTTGTTTCATTTATAAAATGAGGCAATATCACTTATAGGGTTGTTTTAAGGATTTATTATTTTTATGTTTATTTTTGAGAATGAGCACGAGTGGGGGGAGTTGGGGGGGACAGATCTGAAGTGGGCTCTAAGGGGACAGCAGTGAGCCCAATGAGGGGTTCGAACTCATGGACCATGAGATCATGACCTGGGCCAAAGTCAGACACTTAATGGACTGAGCCACCCAGGTGCCCCTGTTTTTAAGGACTGAATGAGATATTTATATAAACTGCAGTACATTTATATAAAATGCCTGAAACACAGAAAATGATAACTGTTAGATGTTGTTATAATTATTGTTAAATAGGTAAGATTACCTAGACAGGGCATGTAGATTAAAAAGCAAATAGAACCAAGTGTTTTTTTTTTTTTTTTTTTTAAGAACCAAGTTTTAATTACACTACTGACAGAATCCACATGCTATGAGCCAAGAATGAGCATGCTGTGTCTTCAAATATAGCAAAGAGTTGGGAACAGATTTTGCAGTCCTCATTCTGTTAAATGTTGACTGAAACACCAGGACACGCAAGGACCAGATTTAGACTGCTCTGAGTCTTGACGCATCTCAAGGTCCGATTGTGTCATATGAATATGAATCTGAAATGGGAAACCAAAGCAGCAAAGTGCCTTTTAAATACAGTTGCACAGAACATAGCCCAGAAATACTGCGAGGGGAAAAAGCCACTATTCCCAAGTCTCTTGAACAGAACTGAAGTCAACCACACAAAGTAACAGAGGAGGTTGTGAGGTTGTATTGCTTTAGTTTCCCATCTCAGTCCTTCCCAGGAATATTCTGGACACCTCTGGTTTATATTGTGAGCCAGGTATCTGCACTTCATTCTCTGTAAGTCACATGTATATTTCCTGTGAAATATTTCTTATTCCAATTTGGCTTCTGTTAAGTAGATAATCACAAAGTTACTAATGGATACATTTTAGTTTAATATTTTTCAGTTTTTTTCCTAACCCAGAAAGTATTACATATGCATTGTAGAAAATTATGAAAACAAAAGCACCAAGAAAAAAAACCTCAACTGTAAATATTAGTATCAGGAGATAACCACTGCTACATATTTTGTTGTATATTCTTGTACACACACATACACGTGCACACACATTTTAGAAACAAAATGGCAATGAGAATATATAGGTTGTGAGCTGATTTTGTTTTCACCTAAAAATATACCACAAATATGTTTCAGACCAAATCCCGAAGGCTCTTTCAAAGCTTGATAACTCTAAAATTTATCCCTATGTATAAATATTTTTTACAGGAACCAAGAAAATACTTTAAAGGAAGAGAAATAATGTATGGACTGGCTTAACAGATTACAAAACATACTATAAAAAGACACTAATTAAAAGAGTATTGTACTGATACAATTAGATCAATGGGATTTAGAATATGATCAGGAGGCATTTGAAATCAACTAATTGTATTAGGTCAACTGGGCCCGATTGTAGTTGGATTCCTGCTCATACCATATATAAATATAAATTTGAAGTTACCTAAAGGGATCTAAATTTAAAAATGATACTGCTAATTCATATTCTTCTCATGCACACACAAAACATTCTCCAGGATAGATCATATGTAAGGCCACAAAACAAATCTTAATAAATTTAAGACTGAACTCACATCAAGGATGCTTTCCAACCACAATGGTATGAAACTAGAAATCAGTTACAAAACAAAAAAAGAAAAATTCACAAATATTTGGAGATTAAACAACATGTGACTGAAAAACCAATGGGCCAAGAAAGATATCAAAAGAGAGATTAAAACATTACTTGAAGATCATCTGGGTGGATTAGCTGATTAAGCATCTGACTCTTGGTTTTGGCTCGGGTCATGATTTCATGGTTTGTGGGCTCAAGCCCCACATCAGGCTCTGTGCTGACAGTGCAGAGCCTGCTTGGGATTCTCTCTCTCCCCCTCTCTTTCTGCTCTCCCTTACTTGTACTTTCTCTCTCAAAATAAATAAATAAAACTTGAGACAAAGAAAAATGGAAATACAATGTACCAAAGGTATGGCCTACAGTAAAAACAGCTCTTAAGAGGGAAGCTCATAGTAATAGATACCTACAGTAAGAAGCAAGAAAGATCTCAAACACCCTAACTTTATACCTCAAGGAACTAGAGAAAAGAACTAAGACCAAAGTTAGTAGAAGGAACAAAATAACAAAGAGACTAAAAAGACAATAGAAATGAAATAGAGACTGAAAAGACAATAGAAAAGATCAATGAAACTAAAAGCTGATTTTTTGAAAAGATAAACAAAATAGACAAACCCTTAGCTAAACTTACCAAGAAAAAAAAAGAGAACTCAAATAAAATTGGAAATGAAAGAGGAGAGGGTTATTACCTGTAC